AATGCAAAATCCTTCCTGTACTGGCACTGTTCCCCTCAGGTTGTCATTCCCCATGGCTCTGTCCCCAGGGGCCTGGAGCTCCCGTGGTGCTGAGTGTGTCCTGCTCCTGCTGCTGTGCTCACCGTGTGGGCTTCGCTTTGCAAAGACGTGGCCTCTCTAGGCTGAGATCACTGCTCAAGTGCGGTGCTTTGGTGACATACATGAGTTTCTTGGATTTATTGTACTTTTTCCTAGACTGTATCACTTGTCAGAGTTGTGTGGGCTGTTGTGTAGAATGATGATGTCACCCGCTTGTGAGGAACATCTTCCCTGGATATGTTCAGTGCAGAGCACCCCTAGTGTGAGCTTCCTCAATGTTCTCTGTCTTGCTGGAAGTCCAAGCTTCCAATATAGGTTACATTCCATTTCTGATGACTAAGGAGAACTGCTGGAGAACATGGCTCAGCTTTTCTCTCACTGCTTGTTAATGTGGTTGAGAACACCTGACATGCAAAATTAGGGCAGATGAATAGGGTTCTTTTATCTTCTCTTAATGCAAACAATGGAACTCCTGGTTGTAAAGAGTTGTCTTTACTCAGACTTCTGTTTGCTTTTTCAGACACCAAAAGCTCTTATTTTATGAGTTCAACAAATAAAAGAATTTAGGCACAACTTTAAAAATCTGCTGTATTTTTTGTTCCACAGTAAAAAGGTGTCTTCTTCACCATATAGTTTTCTGTATAAAAGCACTGTACTATGTCAGTGACAGTACAAAGAAGAAATAAAAAAGAATCCTTTATTTCCTCTCCAGAAAAGGGATATGGTTTTCCTTGCCTCTTCAACATGACATTCCAAGTGTTCATTTAGTCACTGTATGAAGACAAAATAAGGTGACTTAAATAAATGAATGGCTAAATAAAGCATATTACTCTGCTAGCTTCTATCTGAGTGACCTACATATGAATCATGCTCAAGCATTCTAACAGAAGACAGCCAGTCTGTACTAAGTCTTTAAGTGGCACTGTTCAGAACTGAACCAAATTGTGCTAATACGGACTATTCAAATATTTTAAAGGGAATATAACCCTTATATTTTAGAGGAGTTTGATCTATCCAAAACATAAATCTTATCTTTCATTTAGATTATGACTCGTATTTAACAAAGTAGATAATACTTTACTTTTAGTCAATGAATGCAAAGGCAATTAGTGTAATTACTGTAGATGCAACTATAGTTGCATCTTTTTCTCCATATCAGTTTTGTCTTTAGTTTTAAACTATGATATTCCACTGAAGCAGTTGTCTGTAAGCTTTCTAACAGCTTTTTGCCACAGCATGCAAAAAAGGCAGACATCTGTATAAGCTGGAGGCTCTTCTTATTTCCATTATGTCAAATTCGTTTTGGAGTTGGCCATGAGAAATTGTGCAGTCAAGTTCATCCTGGGCCAGGACATCAGGACTGTGCAGTCAAGCTCAGAATGGCAGTGCTACTTTGCTTATTGCATAATGCTTCTTAAAGGAAGCCAGCCCATTTGACAGGAAAAAACCCAACCAAAAAAACCTTTGATATGACTTAAACTGTCGTGCAGCTTTTTCTGCGGTGTGTTTGTTTGTTTGTTTTACTGATTATTCTTAAAATAAACTGTACTAAATTAATTGAAAAAAATAATTGGAATTAGATTTAACAATGTGCATGAAATCATGTCAGGGAAAAATATCACCACACACAGTTGCTATAATTAGACAGAATATTATTTGATTTACCCTTTCAGAAACTTCTGTTCATTTTAGCCTGAGGGTAAGAATTTGATTAAAGTGTGTAAATTAGTGGCGTTTTTCATCAAGATTTAATGTTGTGACATGAATATGCCATTTTCCAACAATAAGGTTTGGGACTTGATTATATTTGCTTTTAAATATTGGGAAATAAAGTACGGAAATCAAGTTAGTATCTACTCTTGCTCTTTAGAAAGTCAGACTAGGCTATAAGTCCTTTCTAAGTTTAACACGTATTATTCTGCAGTGAGATTCTGTCAAGTATTGGTGAGCAAAAGAGAAAGCAGTCTTCTGCCTACCTATTTAGCAATGATTGTTTGATTTTATTCTACAGCTGTGTATCTTCAAGATGGAGATCACTATTTTGACGACCTAGTGTTGTCAGGTAGTTTACCAGTTCACATTACTGAATCTGTTTTGTCTGTCTTATTTATCATCTTGACAAAAATTGCAGAAGGTAGAATTGACATGTTATTTTCTCTCTGATGTTTCTTTTCCTTGCTCTTTTGATTTCAGCCACTCAGAGTGGCTGTAAGTCCTGCCCAAGTGTCCATCCCACCTGTATCCTAGGAGAAAAATGAACTTAATTTCAGAGAAATTCATTCACTATAATTTGTTGTGTTTGCACCTTAGGCAATTATTTCTTCCATAATAAGTGTGCAAATGGCAGAAAGTAGTCAACCGCCATTTCAGTGGCTTCTTGTTCTGTGGAAGAGTGAAAAATACTTGTGGAACTTGACTTTGGTGGAATTCCTGTCTTACGTTTATATTCTTGATGCATTGTTAGGATCATAGTTATTAGATCACCTACAGATAGAAATATTGTTTATCAGTGAAAGACAATAAGCGTGTGGTTTCTTTATTCTTTCATACATCTTCTCATTTTACTTATAGAGAGATTATTAAAAATGATTAATGATTTTTAAAGCTTCATGTTCTGTTAATGCAACTCTTACAGACCACCACTATGTTGTCCTAGATTGCTTAAGAAAGGCTTGTGTTCTCCTGAAGTCTACAATCTTCAAGCTTAAGCCTAAACGAAACTACTTATATTTTATCTAGAACTTCTAATACTGAGCAGGTGACATCATCCATATCCATCTTCCCAACTCAGGAGCTCAGGAACATTCCTTTAAGGTTTTCTTCAGAATCCTTTCCAGAAGCTTGTATTCTCCACAGAAGTTGCAAACTAAAACCTAATTGACATCATATTCCTTTTTAGGTATTTTCAGTGTTGTGCGTTAAAATAGATTTTATGGCACTGAAAGTTCTGATTGTCTCCTTTTTTCGTTTAGAATGCACTTAATTATTGCTTTCCAAGATATTCTATTCCTAGACAAAATTTAAGCATGTGTCTGTGTTAGTCTTACCATCCACCAAACTTGAGGTTTATGTACACAAATTTGATGAAAGAACTTGAACCTTAGGCTCCTTATTGTAGAAAGTTTCTATCAGCCCTTTTTACAGCCAATGCTTTCAAATAGGAAGATGGGATAACTGAGAAGTCTTGTGTTAGATGAATAATGTTTATTTGCACTATGTTCGACATTTCTTGTCAGGACCATTAGAGCATTGCTTGTGAATATCTTATCTCTATCTGGTAGAAGCTACTTCAGTGCTCCTTAAAGATATTTTGCTCCTGTAAATAGTCTGCCAGTCAGCTTCGCTCCTGAATTTTGAGATTCCTCTCCTTGCAAAGAAATCACATAATGTGATGGTGGGTTGGTGCTGTGCTGCCTCTCATGCCCTTCATATGCTGCCCCAAATGGTCTAAGATACATGCGTGGATCAAACAGGCATTACCAGCATGGTAATAGTATTCATAGTCTCCACTATGGAATTCACTTGTGGACAAATTAGCTCAAAAAAAAAAAAAAAAAAGTTGTTTTTCTGTAAGGTAATTTATAATTAATTTCTTATTTCACAACACAATTGTGATTATATAATGTGATCAATGTAATTCATCAGGAGTTTGCATTCATAGCATCCAATAGCTGTTATTTGTAAAGTTCTGTGAAATCAAATTTATTTTTGTAAGCCTTAAAAAGCTGTTAAAATTTAAATAAAATAAAATCCATAGTTTCAATATGCTTAGCCATCTTGTGATAGCACCTGATAAAAATAAACACAAGTTGTTACTATTGCTGAGAATTTGGGGCTTGTGTTTTGGCTTGTTTGCCTGTGAAATCTACGGTAGTGTTCTCTTTCCTGCCCCTGCCTTTTATTTCCTTTCTTTTTCTTTTTTCTTGCCTGGAGCAGTCAGAAGTTGATTTCTGTCTGCTGAGATTTATTTGCCAAAAGTTTCCTGTTCTTCACTGAGACATTATGAAGTAGAAACCTGTAGAAGTGAAGAGGAAAGACAGATAAATATAAACACAAATAAAGAAAAGATATCTCCCACACTTTGGCATAGACAGACAGTAACATTCCCAGCAGAAAGCAAGATTCAAGTAACTAGGGCAGTTAATATTTCTATATATGAATTCTACCCCTTCCTTGGAGTGCTGATGACAAAATATCACAAATAAAAATCAAAGAGCTGAGTTCCCCACTTTGTTCTGCTTTGTTCCACTTCGACTGCTTATGCAGGAAAAGAATTACGAGGAACCCCATGGAAAGATCCGTTAATGTTGAACAGCCAAAGATGGTGAACCTATATCTGATTGCAACTCTATTGCTGTCATGTGCAAAATACAGGAGGATTTTCTAGGCAATAGGAGGAGAGGTTGCATGAAAAGAAAATGGTAGATGGGGTTTCTGCTCTGGAACTTCTCCAACCAGCATTTTTGGTTAGAGATTCTCTATATATCTCCAGGTTTCCCTGATGCTAGAGACTGAACTCACAGAGTCTGGCTGAAGGTGGAGGTTCCTTTGCTTGCAGTTTTCATGCACCGCAGAAGCTTTTAACTTCAAGCACCACAGAAAATTTATCTTTTCAACCTTATATATTAAATTATATTGATTGATGAAGAGATTACCAAAAATGTAAAATCAGTAGAGCAGGACACGCAAAAAAAAATAGTAGAGAATATGCATGGATAATCACAGGCCAACTGGGGTGTGCAGTAGTAGTGCAGATCCTCACGGCCAGGCAGAGGTAACATCTCTCAGCCTTTCTGATTGTGTACTTTCACTTTTGCGTCTGGGTAAGCTGATCTTTGCATCTGTGGGATATTTAAAAAAGAGAAACACTGTCTTTCTGTCTGTTGAACTACTCAGAACTGTTGTTTGCCTTCCTTCTGTAGGTGAATGGGATTGATCTTCGAGGTGCTACCCACGAGCAGGCTGCGGCTGCGCTGAAGGGAGCAGGGCAGACGGTAACAATCATAGCACAATACCAGCCCGAGGGTAAGCAAAATAATAAACTTAAAGGCATATGTTAAAAGATAAGTGCTTTAAAGGCACCCATTTAACAGGATGAGGCTGCTGCAGATAGTGCTTTTCCCGGCTATCATCAGAAGTCATCTGGAATGAAAATTCAAGTGGCAATTCTATCCCAAGGAGGTGGCTGTAGTTTTGTCACAGACTTTGCTTTTAGAAGTGTTTTATGCAACTATAAGACCTATCTTTAAATGTGCATCTAATAAGACAGTAATCAACACTTAGTTAAGCATTTTATTTTCATTATTGCTCATTTTATGTTCTTTTCTTTTGTCATTCTGGTGACAGATAGTGCAAAAGATAAGAATGAACAGAAATGCCGGGAAGATCTGAAGGTGCTTCAGACAATCAGACTAGAATGAAACAAAGATAAATATTTTCTGCCAAATTCATAGAGTATTATTAATAAGGGATAACAGTGTCCTTGAACCCCCAGGGCAATTAGACCCAGATAACAACTGTTTGTTAGAGAAAATTACAGCTTTCTAAAGAAAGCATCAACAGGAAATTCAGCAAAATGAATACCTCTTAATGTGGGATGTATCTCATCCGTTTTTTGTTGTCTGATATTTAGCTTTATAGAACTATAAACCAAATGACTACCAGAGGGTCTCAAGATATTCATGAAAGGAATATTACTTTCTGATAGGAACTAAAGAGGGTTTTCCTCCATAGTAGTTGTTTGGTTAAACCTCTTTCCAGGTGAATTCAGGCACTACAGGTGTCTGTGAAGAATTGCTGGCACCATTTTATCAGTTTTCAGTAAACATATCTAGCTCAAATGACAAGTCTTGCTATGACCTGTCAACAGAAGCTGTTGATTCTGCCTGATTGAGCCCAGCCTAGGACTCATGTGGGTTTCAGGTGAAACAGAACAGCTCTAACAATAGATTCAGCTAGTCAGTCTTTTCAGAGACACTGGGGAGGTGAATTAGCACTGCTAGCATTTATCCAATATGATACCTTCTTTTGTTTCTCTGCATCCTGATTATAGCACACAAAGAGAAGAGCAGCTGCTCTTTTAATCAAACTTAAAATGGTGCTTCAGATCTGGTATCATACATCCATTTATTTGTTTATTTGCACTTGAGTCACCAAACAGAACAGATTAGACCATACTAGGAAACGGGCAGATGATAGCAAATGAAATTGCAAGTGTGTGTCTTTAGCTAAATAAATGGAACATATTAATATAAAAATATGTAAGTAATGATCAGAGTTATTTAAAAGAAAAAGTATTGAAAAGCAGTTCCATTACAGATAGCTTCCTGCACTGGCTTCTGAATAAAACTATGTTCCATTAGTTCTGGCTGTCTTGTTTGCTGTCTAGTGATTTTCTACTGCAATTATCACCATGGTGTCTGAGTACTTGTAGCAATCACTGGCATCTCAGAGTTGTTCTATGCCATTATTAATACACAAAAAGAATGCATCGCTTGACAGATTTTTCCTATTATATTTGAACTTGTAGTTGACATACTTTCCCCCTACATTTTAGAAGCTCTGTACTATGTCAGATTCAGTTTAGGTGAACATGCAATTCAAATGATGTTGATGAAATCCATCAAATCTTATAATGCATATTTATTCCATTTTCTGATAATACATCTCTATTCACCAAAAAACCCTGTTGAGGGCAGACTAGTCCTGCCTGCATGACTTCTTGTCAGTGAAGCACAGCCAGTTTTCTGTTTCACCCAAATAGATCAAAATACACTGAAGAGAGTAGAATTGGTGAAGAACAGTTAGCCCAAAAATTAGCCTTTTTATAGGAAATTATTGAATCTTTTAAGGTAGTGAGAGTATTCAGTAGTTGTCCAACGTGTTGTCTTGCTACTGAAGTATTTCACTTTAATCTGAGATTCTAGATAATGCAAACTACTTAAATGCAGATGTGAAGTATTTCTTTCCTAAAAAAAACCCTTAACAGCAAGGAAGTATGAAACAGTTTTAAAACAGTTCTTTAAATAAACTTCACAGAGAACTATTTAAAGATTTACAGGTCACACAGAAAGACAAACACACTCTATCGGCACAAATATTTATTTTATTCTAAATATTTCTTTTTGTCCTTTCTCTGTAATGTATGCTTGATCTCTTACTTACCATATCTTACCTTAATGCATATATTGGAACATAGTCATAAAATACAGTCTTAAAACTGTGCTGCTCTGTTTCCTTCAGAGGCTCCTTATTTCAAAATGCTTCCAAAACCAGTAAAGTACACAAGCAAAGAAGGATTGTAGCCTGATTTTCTATTTTCATACTGGAAGCTGTGAATTATTGTTACTACAACTTTTTACAAGTCTCTCTCAGAGATTCAGGAATATCCACTGCAAATGTTAACCAATACATTTGGGAATTTTTAGTATTTTCTGGCTTATTAAGCATTTAGATGATGCTGCAAACAAAAACATTCAATGAAACCTTTAGCTGTTGATTTTTCAGGTATTAAGCGATAATGATCTAAGTACTAGTTGATACTATAAGCCAGCTGATGATTAGCAATTTAAATTTTTAGTAGAAAAAGCTTATGTTCCAACAATTTGGTATTTACACAGTAAAGAAAATCTTATATCACATTTTTCTTAGCAAAGTCTCCAAAAACAAATAATGTACTTTGCTGTGGGAAGAAAATGAGGTGAATACTATAGAAACAGCTTTCAAAGTTTAAATTTCCCTTTCCTCATTTCAATCAAAAGTTCATCTAAGCCTCATATGAATTTCCCTCACATTTATGTGTAAAGATTGGCAGTAAATCTCATAAGAATGGCAACTTCTGCGAAAAAAAATCTAGCAGTTGAATAGCTTTTTCTCGTCATATTATGGCACTTTGTTTTCTTGTCCTGTCTGGATAAAACAAATGCAGGGAGTAGCTCAGCTATTATAGCATCACAAAAATTTTTGCGTGCTGTCAGACTTGTGGTTGGTGACGATGCTTATCTGAACCACACTGCCTGTCCCTCAGAAGCAAGTTGTCTCAGAAACAGAAATAAAATCTCTAAAAGAGCAGAGATAGAGGGAGCAAAGGGAGAATGGAAGGTACAAGCAGTGATTTCGTAAGAAGGAGCTGAATAGAAATACAAAAGATAGTATGAAGAATACTTAGGACAGTATGAAGAGCAACTCCTCAGGTCTTCTGCTCTTCGGTCCTTGTTTTCCTTGTGTACACTCACCATCTTTATTTTCCTCATGTCTCTGAGAAACAGAAGAGAAAAAAAGAGGCATGGCAGTCCAAACAGAAATGCAAATTCTGTGAACAAAAATATGGAAAGGTTATTAGGAGCAAGAGGAAAAGAAGTTAGAGATTAAAAACTCAGCGATTATATTAAAAGTATATGTTTATAGCTTTACAACAGCAGCTGTAACTGGTTTTTTTGAGTCATTCCTTTTATTTTAAAAACTGAGAATAACCTATGCATTGTATTTTTTGTACACATATATTGTGTCACTGGAGGTCAAGTATTGTTAAGCGTCATGATCTCTAACAATCATTGTGGATGTAGTTCATGTGGAGGTTTGTATCCAAAGTACACTGGCCATCCTGCAGGCTTCAGAAAGATGGCTTTTTGTATTCATGTTCAGCTCACATCTTCTGTACATGGTTGAAATTAAAGAGAATTTAAGGACCAAAAGCTACTTAAAGTTAGAAAAGGAACCATATATTTAGCTTTGTTCTTTATTTTTTAGTATTCTTGGAAACATTTCAACTCTCCTCCCAGTTTAGCAACACTCAAATCTCTTAGAACATTGTATGAATATGGAGGTAGTGCAAAATAAGAACCTGAGCCTGGAAAATAATCTTAGGGTGGCCCTATTAAATGATTAATTAGAGATTAAAATGGCAATATAGACCACACTGGGAAACACTTTTTACACTTCCAGGTTTTTATGCAGGATGTATTTTTATTTTAACGACAATAGTTGTAAATTACAGCCCAGTATGGAAGGTGTTAAGAAAAACCATTTTACCAATGAAACTGAAATACATTTTCAAAGGAAAGTGAACTTTGGTTGAAATAGTGACAATTTGTCCTGAAAGACACAGCTTGGGAGTGAAGGTAAACAGAATATTGGTCTCCTAATGAAGCTGCTAAAAACCTTTATTGCACATTTTAGTCTCAGATGCTCATTGTCCTTCCCCCTGTGGCAGTGTGAAAGGGTAGAACTTAGCCCTAAGATTTTGGCAAAATACTCAGTGTCAGTGGTCTGCGAGCTGTGTGGTGCTGCATTGCAGTGTCTCTGCAGCTATTGCCTCGCAACAGTCCCTGGAAAACTGTTAAAACCAGTCAGAAGTTTCATGTGCTTTTAAATCTTTCAAGCAAGCCAATTAACTTACTTTCGTAACAGCTTGCATACAGGGAAAACATGCATTGATTACAGTTTGATTAGAGCAGCCAACAATACAGAGGTCAAAAAGTTGTTACAGTGAGAAAAATTCTGCTTTATCACCTTTTGAGTTAACTGTTAGCTGCTTGCTTGGCCGCTCTGCACCTGCTGTGTGTTTGAATAGCTGAATTTTAGTCAGAGTGTCAGACAGAGAGATGTGGTAATAGGCAGTGTCTGTCTTTGCAGACGTTAGCTAGGGAAATTTTTGGAGAGTTACACCTACAGTTATGAGCATCTCATGGCTGCTGTGGTATTAAATTCACTTTTTAGTGCTTTTGTTCCTGAACGTGAGGCGCACACAGTGCATTGCAACAGACCTAACTTCCCTAAGCAGCATCAGCTGTCTGACACATTCCTCTAACCTACTAATGCATGAGATCTGCTCTTTTTAAAATACTGAGAGTAAAAATCCAAGAGTCACTTTCACAGGTCTCTCCCTGAACACTCATGGATACTTTTTAGCTCTTTCCCATATTTCATTCCCTGTTCCACCTCAAAATACAAACACTTGTCTCCTATTTCAGTACAACTATCACATGTATTCCTGATTCAGATGTTTAACCTTTCCAGATGCTGCA